TGAGTTTGCGATCTAGAGCGCGCAATACCCTTTGATGAAGCAACCGTCCTTTGATCATAGGCCCCCAACCCTAAACACCTAAACACCTAAACCCCAAACCCCTAAACCCCAAACCCCTAACCCCTAAAACCCTAAACCGTAAATGATGATTACTCAAACCATGCTACCTGGGAGTTTCTGACAGCTATCTGTCCCTTTGGGGCTAGGAGTGATGGATATTAAAAAATGGGCTTAGGTTTAGGGTTTAGGGTCCACATTATCAGAGGGTATAAGAGGATATATGGGACATTATGATATAGGGGGATGTATGGGGACGCTCTGAGGCAATCGATTTAGGATCACAGATCCGGGGCTAGGAGCTATGGTCTACACTCCTAGTATCCCCCTGAATAAGCCCTAGAATACTCCCTGATATAATCCCCTATATATACCCCCCCCTAAAGGAGTTTTGAATATAGCTCCTATAGTTGAGGAAACTCCGACTCGTAGCTTCAGCAGTCCTAGGAGTTCGCCAGAGCAAATGGAGAACTCTTTGGAACACCACTGCAGACCTCGGTTATACGGGGTTTTGGGTTTGAAGTCTAGGATTTAAAGCCTAAATCCTGAACCCCAAACTCTAAGCTTGCTAAGCCATTCTGTCTGGCCATTCTTGGCCTGGAAGCTCACCCTTCAACAAGCGCAGGTTCTCAAGCATCTACAGATTGGTGCGCCCTGGTACTGGATAGCCAAATGGAAATCAAATCAAAAATGAAATCGAAACTGGGACTATTTTATGACTCCACAGGGATATGGCCTCCCTTAACTGAAGAGACTGGTACTCAAGACGTGCTCATACATACAGGCTCCTCTGGTGAATATGTTATATTCAGAGAACGACCTGAGAGCAACTTTTACGGTTTAGGGTTCGGGATTTAAGTTGTGTACGACCTTTAGACAGCAACTTTGCCTCTAGAGCGCAGAAAACAATGTAGCGACCTAAATACTTAGCGTCGGGTTGCAGGACAAAATACACCAAAGCTGTAGAAGGATCATATTATGAGCCCTGGACTAAATTTGTGGTATATCCCTTAAATAGGTCCCCCCCCAAACCCTATATATTCCCCTATAGGTCCCCCCCAACCTAAATTTAGTCCGTAGCTCATGTGATTTGGACGCAACACTCCCTTTTGGGAGCCCATCTAGGCTCGACTTACATCCTGTTCAGGTACTTTCACCCCAAACCCCCAAAACCTGAAACCCTAAAACCTAAAACCCAAACCCTACGTAACCCCATTATAATCGTTTCCATATTCTTTTCCATTATCCCTACATAACCCCAATATATACCCTATAATAACCCCAATATACACACCATTATAACCGGGATGAACTGTTAGTTGCTCCGGCCTTCTGCAAGAAGACGATCTTGGGTGTACCAAGTATACAGCCTGGGCAGCTAAGGCTGCAAGACGCTGAAGGATTGAGGGCTTAGGGTTCAGGGTGAAGAGTTTGGGGTTGAGGGTTTATGGTTTAGGATGAAGAGTTTGGGGTTTAGGGTTTAGGGTTTAGGATGAAGAGTTTGGGGTTTAGGGTTTAGGGTGATGGGTGAAGAGTTTGCGGTTTAGGGTTTAGGGGAAGGTTTGGGGTTCAGGGCTAAGGTTGAGGGGCTAAGGTCAAGGTTAGGTGTTAAGCGTTCAAGGTTTAGGCCTTATACTGGGTTGCTGTTAAGGAACTTAAATTAAGCTACGATATTGGGGAAACCCTATTATTTAATATATGTATATATATACCCATTATGGTAACTTAATTTAAGTTCCTTAACAGCAACCCAGTATAGGGTTGAGAGCTAAGGGTTCAGGGCTTAGACCTAAGCCCTCAACCAGGGTCATGAATCAAGGGCAAGCAAGGCTCTCTGGATTGGGAATTCATTCTTTGCGCAGGCATCGCTTCTCCTACTGCTACACTACCGGCCTCAGAACCCGAATACACATATGATTGTTGGTTGTTGTAAGGATCATAGTAAACTAGAGTTTAGGGCTTCGAGCACAAAAAGGCCTAATAAGATACAAATATGATCTTTGGTTGTTACTCGGATTATAGTAAACAGAAAGTGAAAGACTATTTTGGAGGCCCCCAAAGACTGTTTATCCAAAAAGTCCAGCATAACTCTAGTACACTGTAGTATTGTAATTCCGCTAAGGTACTTCAAGGCACGCATTGTTTGTGGCGACGCCCCCACCCTTCAATAGTGGTAAATGATAATATAAGAGGACGTAATGTAATCTCTTTTACCCCTAAACTCTAGTCCCTAAATCCTAACCCCTTGTAGTAGTCACTACCATAGGGCGTGGCGTTCACCTAATGTGTTGTGTAATCCGTAGTCTTCTCAGGCCTATGATAGAACTAGTACTTAGATTATTTCCTCAGTGTTATACTATGATAACATCTTTAAAATACTTTCTAAGCAGACTACAGTAGTATTAACGGCACTTCCTTCGGCCGCCATATGGTTAAGCCACAGTTTGGAACCAGGATCCAGGATCCTGGTCATGTCCATAACCACCGAAGTTCAGGGTTCTAGGGGTTTAGGGTTTTAGGGTTTGGGGTTTCGAGTTTAGGGTCTAGAGTTTAGGGCTTCCAGCACAAAAAGGCTCAACAAGATCCAATGAGGCTTCATGCTATAACCTGGACCCCAGAAAGTGCGCAGAATCATTGCCCCAAGACCAATGAAAGGAACCAAGCAGGCTATGGTCCTGCATAATGTAAGGAGGTCCAGGATAAAACTACAAATACCCTAGCACCCTAAACCCTAAACCCTAATACTCAAACAAGCTATTGTTCTACTCATCTTGAGGGGGTTCAGAATATGGATTTAAATACCCACCTTCTACTCGAAGGTCCAAGAACTACCCACCCAGACCCATGAAGATCCACAAGAAACCTACATGAGCTATGGCCTAAACCCCTTAAAGGGGGTCATGTAGGGGATTGTATAGGGGAGAATTACAGGGTTATTAAGGGGAATACTAGGAGCTTTGACTACAGCTCAAATAAGCCTGTAACAACATCATCCCTGTATACTTCCGCTTATGTTTCTAGACGATCTAAGCCCTGAACCAAAACACCCGCGAATCACTCTTTGAATCAATTTTGGGCTTGGGGCATACTCTCCAAGCAAAGCTGATCCTATCAACCAACCTCATGCTTACTAGCAATTCCCCTAAGGTTCCAACGACCCAAACATGGGGTTTTACAGCCCAAATACATTTAATGTTATAGTATTTAGGCCCGAACACCCTAGTATTTGGGTCCTTGGACCCTTAGCCTAAGTTTAGGGTTTAAGGTTTAGGGAATGCAGTAATGAAGGAGTGGGTCCGTACAGTACCCTAAACCCTAAGCCCTAAACCCTACGCCCTAAACCCTACGCCCTAAGCCCTACGCCCTAAACCCTAAGCCCTAAACCTCAAGCCCATCTGAGCTTACCATTACTTAGCGGCCCCAAATTTCCTTCATTCTAAAACTTCAGCATCAACATGACACCCCCCCCAAACCCTAGGTAATGGTAATGAACCCTCAACCGTAAACCCTAAGCCCTAAACTCTATACAAATACCAACAAAATGACTTACATCTTCTTTTTCGATCCTTCAGCCCGTGCTACGAAATTGCATCCTCCCAGTGCTCCCCGAAACCTTAACCCTAAACCTAGGCTAGAAGGATTCCCGAAGGGATCAAGGACCCAAATAATGGGGTCCTTTAAAGGGGTTCTAGGGGGATATATAGGGATGCATGGGACTATATAAGGGTACATAGGGCCCAAATGAAAGGGCTTTGGGTCCCAAAAACCGTTAATATTACAGTAGTTGGGCCCTAAAAGCCCTATTATTTGGGTCCTTGGACCTTCGGGGGATACATAAGGATATATGAACCACTGTCTAAACTCCTAGTATCCCCCTTAATAACCCCAGTACTACTCCCCTATATAATCCCCAATATAACCCCCCTTAAGGTCCCTAAACCCTAATCCCTAAACCCTAAACC